TTGTAATAGAGTCTAACCTACGAGAATGGTTACTTTCATGTTTTTTCCATGTTTCATACTCGTAGAGTACGAAAAAGTAGGTCTCGCGTTTCTGGCTGTCTGTGTCTGGATTGATTGTTGTCAAATTTTATATGTATGTTAGAAATATGGTGTAAATGGTAAAATAATAAACAAAATTTGCCTAATCATCTTTACTAACAACACGATGACGTCATCTCTAAATTTACAATAGTAAATGTTATTTAAATTTTATAAGATACCTGTGGTTTATGAATCCATGTTGAGTTTTCTTCCTAAATTTTTGGAAAAAACCAAAATTCCATAGCAACATTTTACAATCTAGCTTTGAAATTGCAAAACCGAATGCTTATTTTCTTTTGTATATTAATGCGTACTCATCTTTTCACAACAAGAACTTAAAACATGTTTACCATTGTAAATTTTTGTAGGGAAATATTGATTTTGCAATTGTGCTCCGCCTCTCGGTCAGACAACGAATGGAAAATTCATCACCATTGAGATCCAGACGAATGGGTGGGGCTTTCTTTTACTTAATATATGTGGTTTTCTTTGAGCAACACGATCACTGAAGACCATATTTCACGTAGTAATTCTTGTAGAAAAAAACAGATTTTGCAGTTAAACTCCGCCCCTCACAGCTGAAACAGGGTGGGTGGGCGGGGCTTAAGTTTTTCATTTGTTTTTCTTTTTAATATACATAGTCTTCTCTTTACGATAAGAAACTAAAAATATGTTTAACCTTTTACCCTTTTAAACCTGTTTTCAGTTTCTTGTCGTGGAAAGAAAACTACATACCTATTAAGAAAAAAAAGATGAAACACAAAGCCCGTCCACCCGCCCTCGTCTCAATTGTGATAACTCTTTTATTCGTCGTGAGCCGAAGGGCGGAGTTTAACTGCAAAATGCTTATTTCTCCCCAAGAAATTATCATCTGAAACATGTTTTTAAGTATGGTGTGGAAATAAACCTGTATATATTAAGAAAAAAAAAGCAAAGATAAATTTTTCACCAAAACGTGTTTTAAGTTTTATCCATTTTGAAAAAATGAACTGTGTAACCCTCTCTCCCCTACTATGTCAACCACAATAAAACATGTTTTAGATGGGAATTTCTTGGAGAGAAACAATGAGTTTGCAATTAAGCTTCGCCCGTTTGGCTAACGATGAATAAAAAAAATCATCACAATCGAGATGGGGTGGGTGGGCGGGGTTATATTTTCTTTTGTATATTAATGCGTACTCATCTTTTCACAACCATCTTCGAAAATTGGTACAGACATTTTTTGTAGAATTCAAATTCTGGAAGTTAATTTGGGTTTCATTTCTTTGGAAATTCCTGCCATTTTGCAGAATTGGCTTTTCCAAAAAATGACGACGTAATCTTACAATCTTTAAACTTTATAAAATAACATACACCTACTTCTGCTTGTGTGATTTATGAATCCGTGTTGAGTTTGTATCCCAGGCATCCAGATTTTTGGAAAAAAATCAAAATTTTATGACAATATTTTACAATTTAATTTTGAAATAGCAAGACTGAATTCTGCGAAATCTTGCAAAAATTTACGGTAATAGGAAATCGTAAATCGAATAAAATGTTCTTTAAATTTGCTGAGTTTAGTTTAGTTAAAGTTTTGTGAACAAGTCATCAACTTTTTAATGGGAACAAAGTATAGTGGGACAAGAGAGATGGTGGTTTTATGATCCCGATTTTTCCAACCCCCCACCAAAGAGCATGTGTCAATTTGGATACGGTAAGGTAAAATTGGTAAACCTTTTTTGATATACTTAGTTAATAAACTAAAATGCTTCACCTCTTTATGTAGCATTTTTCTGTGGAGTTTTTATAGTGATTTTCTTTGATATTATTTTTGTCTTCCATTTTTTGTAGCGTTTCTTTTTTTTCAGTGACTTTTGTAGTGGTCGTTTTCTCATATATTCATCGGTTTTTTGTCCTCTGTTTTCGCCATTTTTTTTACTCTCTTCTGTCGGTCACATTTTTACTTCCCGATCGTAAGTTAAGTAAGGTTAGTAATCGATTCCATCGGCTGAAATGCCACTTTCATATTTTCTTGACGTGTCATGACCTCAAGAGTACGAAAAAAGTTTGTGTCTGTCTATCTGTATCCATTTTTATTAGACAAGAAATCTCCGAAACTACTGGACCGATTGTTGTCACATTTTGTATTTATATTAGGAATATCATGGGATGACGTCATTTCCAAAACTTATAAGAAAAAGTTTTTTAAATTTCATTTTTGGAAAAAATTGAAAACCATATAGCAATATTTAGCAACATAACTTTGAAACTGCAAAACCGATTACTCTGAAATCTTGTAAATATTTTAAGTTTATCGTAATCATGATAAATCGTTAAGCAAAATTTATTCATTTATCCCCTCCCAAAAAATTCATGACGTCACCTCAAAATTTTCCGAATAAATCCTATTCAAAATGTGCAAAATATGATGAGTCTGTACTTGTGATTTATCATTACATTAAAAGTTTTTAAATTTGTTATACAGGGTGACTCATAAAAATTAATGAATGAGTCAATTTATTTTATCGATTAAATCGGGAACGGCTCACTCCGTTGTCCTGAAAATTTGGGAATACAATGCTGTTATCATTAATATTACACTGTACCCATCCAAAGTGATATACGTGTCTTTGCAAAAATGTTAATGACGTCATCACAAAATTTTATAAAGTAAAAACTCATTTGAAACATACGCGTTGCACGCTTCTTTCTTCTATTAATTCCAACTTATAGGGGTTCTCATAAAAATAAAATAAAATCCGCAAAATTATATTTTATAATTTTTCAAAAATGTTGGATATGTTTCATGGTATTTCAGAAGCGAGGGAAGTTCTGCCGAAACAACTTTTGACCAATTTTTTTAATGAGTAGTGACATGGAAATGATATTTGACCCACAGTATACCTGGTTGCCTAGGTTTACAAAACATATTCCACCTTGAATTTGAAGAAGTACAATCACTCGAATTTTTGGCAACCACATATATATGTAAGTAATTGTACGATAAAAAATAATTGAATTATCCAGCTTTAAAACTAAATAAAGCCAATTTATTTAATAAAGTTTTAGTTGTTCCAATAATAAATTCTGACAATGGATATTGAAAATATGTACCAAAATCAAATGAACCAGCTTTCATTAACATATTTTGAAAATTTATTATATTCGTATGAAATCACAGTGTTGTTCTTTTTAAAACAGTACAATATGCCATTTCTATATCGACAATCACGATTTACTTCAAACGGAAGACCAGGAAGTAGGTAGTTCATTAATAATTCCGTGTAGTTAACAGGGGCGGCTTGTCCTATGAGGCAGGTGAGGCAGTGCCTCACCAATGAATTTTACGCCTTATTAGGATTTTTATTATTTTATACGGACACATTTCGGCCAATAATTTGTGTCTTTTTTCTAAAATTTTAAAAATAAATATAGAAAATTATATTCTTATTTTTATCTCGGTAGGTACTCGTTGCTCCCTTAATTAAACAGCGCGCTTAAACACTCGGCACAACATGTATTTTGTGACGCGAATGAGGCCGACTCGAAGCTTGCCTCTACAGCATATATAGAAATCATGTCGTTAATAGGCAAGCAACCTGCAATACACTTATAAGCGGTATGAGTTGAAAAAAGACAAAATTGAGGCTAGCCTCATTTCCGTGCTTGCAAAAGAGATGGACAACTATATTATTTGCGCGCGGGGAACGTGCGATTGCAATGCAGTCTGCATTCGCAGGAGTATTCAAAATTAGGCCGTTGATTGTTTTGCCACAAATCTGTGTGTGTATAAATTGATTCAAAATTTCGGTAACAGAATTTTGTCTTAAAAGTGCCTACGTTTGCGTGGGTCGCGTTAGTGCTTTGTGCTTGTCATAATTTGATTTCGGTAATCGTTATTTAAGATTACGAGTAAATCGGAATTTTTCTCTACTAACGTTAAATGACAATGGCAGTTCTGTTTTTTCTACTTTCACGTATGATGATAAATTGTATGTAGTTAAGGAATTAAAACCGCCGGTTCCTGATTTGAGTAAATCGTTAATTGATCCATAAAAAAAAAATTAAAATAAATCCGTATTTATATTTTATATTTTTTTCATTTTGTTTTTTGTTATAAATCAAATTAGCTTTATTTTATGTTGTATTTGATCTTTTTCGATATGTTTCCTTTAAAGTTTATTTTAATTTTGTTTTTTGTTAGAAGTTATATTAGTTTTTTCTGACCACGCTTCCCTTTCCTTTTGTCCTGTCATTCTCATCCTTTCCTTGCAAGACCTCCTTACACCTTCACGTTGGTTCTTTGTGGACAGTTAAATGAGTTTACAAATTTGTTTATTTGACTAAATAGAAAATATTTAAGTAAACTTGATTTATTTATATTTTAGAGCGTTTTGTGCTGTGCCTCATCAATTTTTCAAGTCATGAGCCGCCCCTGGTAGTTAATAATAATTATCATAAAATACAAACGTACGTCCTGTGTACGATACTCCTAACTCATAAATGTTTCCAGATTGCTGTGTTTGAAAATTAGGAGAGCCAATGAAATAATATTTATTTTCATATACAATTACAACTTTTCTAGTAGATCTTTCATAGTCGTGAGAGATTTCTTTTACCAACGGCACTAACGGTAAGTAATCAGATATTAATTTTGAATCCCTGTATCCTTTGTCATAAAAAAAATTTTTGTGAAACATAAATGCTGATTTGAAGTTCTTAATACATTATCTGGATGGTTTATTGAATTATCGCTTAAGTGAACTTCTTTTTCATGTAATTTATTTCTTTTTCATTTATTCTATCAGCTTTAGTTCCAATTTTATACAAATATAGGTTAATTTTAAGTATTTTTCCATTTATAGATATAAATATTGAAATGACACTTGTGGATTTGTTTCCATCTGATTAAGAAGTTGAGGAAAAGAGAAAACCACCAGTTATCAGAAGAATATTTTTATTAGAACAATGTTAACCATTACTAATTGTGTCACTGAAGTTAGGCATTATAGGAAATCAGTACTTTGTACTTTTCACATTCCAATTATAAGACATGAAAGCTTCATGCCTGGAGTGAAGTGAGTTCAGGCTATAAACACATTTTGCTGCATTCTTACGTATACCATAGTAACACTGCGAACTTTAAAACTAAGCAACAAAGTAATCTAACTCATAAATACCTCTACATCGAACTAAATAATCATTTTGTATTTACAGAACCTATATACAAGACAGTCCACTATTTACAATGGAACTTAAGGAATCATAACTGGTTAATTGGAAGGCAGCCTTTGTCAGGTTGTGCTCTCAATAAAAAAATTAACGTAACTTAACACACTAATAAAAACGTCATTCGATCCCTGAATGAAAACCGAAACTAACCTCAATCTCTGTATGCTATTTCGCGACCTTCGGTACAATTACACCTACTTCTAACATACATTTGTACATTATTTCGATAAAGTTACACTTAACACCGTACATTGAAACATCAAATACACAAACAAGTCATTAGATCGTAACTATACTGTGGTTATCACTGGTGCCGTTTTTTATTTCTTGTTCTTTTTTGTTCAGCTTTACCCATGTGTCCCCCAACGCTTTAGCGAAATGATCGTCCACCGATAGACCAGCAGTGTCCATCAATTCGATCACGTTCGTCGTCGGTGCTTTCGGGGGAGGTTTCACTGGAATCGGTTCTTTGGAAACGTTGTTGTTGGAAAAGAGGGTTAAGTAGTCGTTGCCGAGAGAACGACGGAAATGTTCGTCGATGATGGGGTCGCACATTGAAATGCCTGTAACAAAATGTTTCATTAGGTGGTTTATTGGATTACTTTTATTTAGGTTTCTTCTTTAATTTAAAAGTCGAGTACTCCAATTACATTGGTAAACTGCTTATATAAGAATGGTAAGTGTCGTTCAACCGATCTCGTCAGTATAGTTATTTTGGGTTTACGATCTGATACTAGTACGCTGCGGCGTTTTGTGTATGTGTATAATCAACATAACCAACGAAATAAATTTGGTTTTTGGAAAATGCGGTGTAATTAGAACTCACCTTGTTTTTAAGAGTGCTTGTTCGAGTTTACATAATCACTCTTACTGCACATACAAAAAACAGAAGTGACAATTGGTGCTAATGCGATAATTAAATACGTAACAATTGAAGTAACAAGTTCAATTATAAAACGTCTGGCAGTGAAGTGGCAAAATATTCATTACTGCGCAAATTACTTGAGCTGTAATTAAAAATTGGTTAAAACAGTTTAGACAGTACTTCCCTGAGGCGTGACTAATACATAGTGCATGTCAGAGTATTCAACAAGTTTTTGCTGAAACTTCAATTAATTTTGATGTTCGTAATATAACATTAAAACGTTACTGCGTCCTAGAATTTGAAGTCCCAGAAACGCTTTCATTATTGGCACGAAGTAAAAGGCGAGTCCTTTGAGAACCCGTTTTAAAATAAAAGGTGTTCTTTATTTTAACACTGACACAATCGCAAATTCGCCTTGACGTAAAACTTCAAAAAAGTAAGAGAAATCTTGTACACAGTGTCATAAAAACCCATCCACGCAAACTTGGGAACCATCAAATTTTAAAACTGTGCAAATTTTTCACCTTGGCGATAACAACCCATTACTATTCCGCATTATCGCCCAACATTTTGCGTGTTATCTTCGGATGTGGTAACCCTTTTAAAAATAACCGCAATCCCAAACAAAGAAAATATACTAACCGGGAGGCAAATCCTCTCTATTAGGAGCGTTGTTCTGAATAACAGACGGCCTATAGCTGGATCGATAACCCGGGTTGTTAATCGTCTGCGAATAAGATGGTGGCAACCCCCTCTGTCTGACGCTCATATCAAGCGGAGCGTTGTCTTGACCATTGGTCGATGGATGATTCGGCCCTTCCGTCGTCGGACTCGGAGGTTCTGTTCCGAAAGTTTCGGCGATTTTCGGATCGGACTTCCGGGAGTACTCCGGAAGTCGGGAGCGACGATCCCTTTTCCATTTTGTGGTGGGGAGCTGCTTGTTGGTGGACTGTTTCGAGGACTCCTCTGCGGAAGAAAAAGGAGTTCGTTAAATAACGCAACGTACTGGTATGGGTACTACTAGTAAATTTGGTGTTAATACTTTTTCGCAAAACTTTCTAAATGTGGAAGTTAACGGGAGTACTGATTTTGTTGAATCGATGCTTGTAGGAAGTGCCCCTCTTCCCGCAGCGACCTACGCCAAGGCCGCGTCGTAGTAACGACACATGATGGCTAACATCCGGTAATCAGCGGCGGTTATTCGGACGGAAGCAAGGGGTCACGACTTTAAGTACTAGCCCAAGTTACCTTCGTCCAGCCACGGTTGCCAAAAGACGCGTTTCGGCACTTCCTCGCTCTGCGTAGCCTGAGACGCCTTAACCAATTCCTTGACGAACGCCGAAAACTCCATGGTACCACCCTCCCCGTCAACGATAATAAAAAAAACACACGTCAAAGGTCACTCAGCACTCAATTCACACATCCCATTGTGTACACACACCGAAAGCCATTGTGCGACAGCCGGAGGAATAGTAAACCAGCCTTCATTCATAAGAATCTCGCAGGTAGAGACTTTCAGGTATACGTAATTAGTTTTTTTATTCATCCAGAACGGAGCGACCGTCGCACTGCGGCTATAAGGCCCCTTTTCCCCTGGCGCTCTTTTTGACCGGTTCGGTGTTTTTTGTTTTATCTGGTACCACCAGAATCGGCTTCGCGCTCGATTAATCTTCGACCACGTCGTCGACGGCGGTGGTACCGGCGAGGAACGCGAGGGACTACCGACGTGGTGACTCTTTGATGGCACTTGGGGTTATAATGAAGTAGTAAATACAGCAAGGTCGGTTATTAGGCCGGGTTTCGATACCGCATCAGGAATTTTTGTGACGCCACCGACGATCGGTACGATTTCACAGAAAGAAATGATGCAAAAATGATCTCATTATCTCAGCACTGGTTCGGTCGCAATCCTGCTGACTACATCTCGGTTTTGCTCAAGTTTATTGCATAAAACGCGGAATTGTTCCAGTTACGTTTCAAGAGAAAAAAGCACCGGAGCGGGGACCCATCGGACGAAAACAAAATCAACTCGGCTCGGGTCAGTACGACTGTGAGTTTGCAGAATTTTGCATTGTCTAAAAATACGACAAATGGAAAGGTAAATGGCCGCTAGGCGAAGGTGTCAAAATACTAACGATATCATCGGAATGGAGTGGTCCGCCCATTGGCTTTTCGTGCTAAGTAGGTAGACGAGGGGACCGGAATCGGCAGAGGAGAGTTATTAACTATACCAACCATATGAAGCGTCTGCAGCAAAAAATCGAAACACAAGATTCATTCACTCGTTTTTTTCAACATCTGTCAATTTCTATTGTTTACTGTCATTATTATCGCTAGGAACTCTATTGGAAGCACGCATTTCTGGAGGAAGTACCATTTATGTTGAAAACTAACAAAATGATTATTAATTTTAAATTAATTACCGCCTATTAATTATTACGAAAGACAGTACCACTGGTACCATCAAGGTCATACAATGTCAAAAATACACATTTCAAAGTGTATGCAAATTTTTATGTAGGTATTTTGTCGTCACTTAATTTTAGTGACTATTGTTTTCGAATGTATGGCAAGAATGTGCTGAAAACCTTATTTTATCGAACAAATTAATTAGAAGCAATGTTTGCCTTCTTTTTTTTTGAACTTAGAAGCTATGTACAGTTTTATTCAAAAAATATTGGGCAGTTGTCATTTACTAATGTCGTAACTGTCGGATATTAATAATATCAAAGCCATCGTTTGATAAAATAGATTTTTGAAAAGTGTCAAAATGACACTAAAGCTTGAATCACATATGATTTGTCATAAATGATAGAATGACAGTGCCTAATATTTTTTGAATAAAATAGTACAGTTTCGGCCACAAAATCTTGGGCAGTTCTGTCATGCCAGTGACATAAGTTCTAAAACAGTCTTTACGTATTTATAACCTTAAATTAGCCATGTTTGTCATTTTGACGTAGACTGGAATGTGGATGATGATGTATGTCAAAATTTATTTTTTAAAAGTGTCAATCATTATGACAATAAAGAATAGACTACATCGTGTTTTTTTAAATGACAGAAAAATACTGCCCAAGATTTTCTGGCCGAAAGTGTATGTGGTATTATAAAATTTTTCAGATTTACGGGAAAAAAGCTTTGAAGTTCATTAAAAAAAATAGGTAAAAAAATTTAATCAACCGCAAATATTATGCTACTGTGTAAATATACAATGAGAAAGTAAATTAATCACTTTATAAATTTTGTTGAAGGTATTTCAAACAAATGAAAAATATGTAGGTACACAACTGTGTAAAAAAACTCAAAATGCATTGTCTGAGTAGTGTGTTAATTTCTTAAATTATACCGGGTGTTTGGAAAATGACGGATTAACTTTCCGCTACACTCTTAACAATCAACTGGTGAGTTTGGGAAAAATAGTAAAAAAATCGTTTTCACTTTTTGGTGGAGTTACGATGATTTTAAAATTGGTTATTTTGCTACGTTTAACAATTAAATAACGCATTCATTATCACAATAACTAGTAATAAAACTTTTAGTTAAAATTTCTCTGGTTCATGACCATGTTTAATTACCATTTCAGTTAGAATGTACAAAGATATGGTTGTGTTATTTTTGTAATAATTTGATAAAATTTCATTTGACAACAATCTTTGCCTGATATAAAGCGAAAGTACAAATCAGCAAAAATCGAGTAAAAGTTTTCAAAACTACGTTTAAAATGTTCACAGTTAATTTTAGGTCGCCTGCTGGTGTTTTATTTTCGGATAAATATAAAAATTTTACTATTTTTGTAAAAATTTCACCTGACCTGTTTTTGAGTTAATTTTGGGACCCCGTTTTTTTTTGAAAAATTTAAAACAATCTTGATATTCTAGATATTCCTGTTTGGAGAGAATTTGAAAGTGTTTTGGAGCCTCTAGTGTCTTTTCTGATAAAAATTTAATTACATTTCTCAGAGCATACGTCATTCGCTAAAATCAGTCTTATCCTAACAAGTACTAGCCCCACCCACCCGCCCTCTCTTTTCTTAGAGGATATATGATTTGCCAAAATCAGTTTTATCTTAACAGGTACTAACCCCACCCACCCGCCCCCTCTTAGAGGGTATCTCATTTGCTAAAATCACTCTTATCTTAGCAGGAACTAGCCCCACCCACTATCTCTTTTCTTAGAGGGTATGTCATTTACCCAAATCGGTTTTAGATTAGGAAGTACTAACCCCGCCCGCCCACCCTCTCTTTTATTAAAGGATACTAGCGGAACCCGGCAGACGTTGTCCTGCTTGTGTATATATTTACTTTGTATATACTCGTATGTGGATATAAATGTATGGTCTGGAGCGCAGAATGCGTTGTAGAAAACTGAATAATAAGATAACTCATATTGATGCTATTCCATCTATTTTCATTAGTATATATAATGTACACATTTTTGTATTAGTAATTCACGTGAATGAACAAAATTTTTTACTATTGTATTCGCTATATAACTGAAACAACTTGAACACATTTTAATCAATACTAACATCTATCGTAACGCTAGTGGGTAAACAATATTTTTGGTTTTTCGATTTGGTGTATAGACGTACAGAGTTTTTGGCGTTCCTACTCTGGAGCAAGCAACATACAGTTGACCATGCGAAAAACATGGATTTCCTAAATTTAATCCGGCAACGCGCAGAAACTGCCCTTGGGCTTTGTTGATTGTCATCGCGAAAGCAAGACGCACAGGAAACTGTAGTCGTTTGAATGTAAGGAGCAAATCAGTAGGAACCATTGGAATGCGCGGAATCCATTAATCTAATAAAGGAATGGATGGAGCCTTGTATACGTTTCCATACGCGAGCGAGTGTAATCAACATAAGAAAGAAATAGCTAGAGCGGTTATGCATCAGTGGGGAAAGGACGGCTGACCACGTATCACGTGCTGGGTGGCAAGAAACGCTTCATTTGAACGGGAATTAATACGTTTTCTTACAAATTTGTACAAACAATCAATTATAACAAACGTCTGTTAATGAAAACTATATTTTTACAGTTTACATTAAAATTATGTGTAATGTGAAACAACAAAAATCATGTTAAGTGGTGGAGATAGTCTTTTAATAAAATGAAATGTATAGAGAATCTACAATATATTACGAATTCAGTTAGTACAGTAATCTTCTAAAGTTAACTAATCTTGTAGTGTACGTTCATTGGTAATTCTGAAATTTTTAGGATAAAAATAACTAAACTTTCGATAAAAGTGACAGGGTGCCTAATTAAATTAAACATATTAAATTGTGTGGAATTTTCTACTAAAATTTATTTTCTAAATCCACGTACAAATAACTAAAACAATAATCAATAAATATGAAATTCCCTCTTTTTGTAGCAATAAACCGTTTTTTTCGTAACTCGGAACGTTTAGGGAATCTAACAAATTTTTTAAATTATTTACGAAATCCTTCGTCTGTGTATGTGATTATTACCTATGAAATGAAACAGGATTGCTGTCTTTGCACGTTCTATGCAATTATACGCACAACACGATTTCACGATGCTTAACAAATACTCCGATAAAATACAACTTAAGAAGACTGTAGACATTTAAATAAGGTAACTTGAGCTTAAAAAACGTAAATTTGCAAAAATATACCTTCAAACACCATGAGACAGCACGAAAGAAACCTCCAGAAACAGTGCTCTGCAGTTTCGCGTCAATGTTTTGCCACCCAGAGAGCCCTATCTCTGTCCCACTGTGTTGACAACGCGCGTCTCTCTCTAAGTTATTTCCATATAATATTATTTCTATGGCGGAATCAGTTTGATTTTTTGGGTGGCATTTTTAATAATCTCTAGTAATTCACTCTTTGTTATTACTGAGGATTGTAGACAGTGAACATCACTAATTATTTTCTTTTGCGGTTAATACGATTTTTGTTGTAATACCAACGAAAACAATGTTGTCATTGGTGC